AGACAGGGTCGTCCCAATATGCGTTTTTGCAATTTGCATATAGGCAAAAACGCATAAAAACTGAGATTTTAGTGGAATGTTCCCTTCCAAGTAACAAGTTTTAGCACATTTAATTTCCTAAACTTCGAGGACCAGTGTGCCGTAAATTCTAGCTACTAGAATTCCAAGCGATCTTACTACAGCACGAAATACAGCAAAAATACATATTGTCGAGAAGTCGTCTTTTTGTGTGTGTTCGGAAGCAAGTGAACATTGTTACCCACGTTCAACTCAGCAATCAAAAAAGCTGGGAGGCTGAAATTTTGGAGTCATATTCCCATCCCATACGCCGCTCTCCTGTTTTAAAAGTTCGCTCATACTCGACTAGATCTCGCGTGCGGACTTCCAAGAAAATATGCATATTTCTTTAACGATTTCGTGATTCAGAAAAGATAGAAAGCTGAAAATTTGCAGGAGTTTTCTCTTTACGTCTATAAGCTAAAGATTTCAAGTTCATTTACAGCGCGCGGGCTATTTCCTTACCAGACAAGCTGCGAAGCTGAAACTTTGTAGGAATATTCTACATTCAAATGTGGTCTTAATTCAACTTAGAAGTTAAATTCTCCGCACGCGGACGTGACAAATACTCAATTTTATTGAAAACTCAAAAGTGATTGCATTTTACAGACTTCATAACCCTCTCCCGGTCCCCTTAAAATTCGCGTTTTTTCAGTGAGTGAATATTCGCCGGAAAAACGACAGGGCTTCATGCAAAAAACTGATAATCATGCACACTGAAAGACAACTTAGCCCCACAATGAAACACCTTCATTCAAGTCGACGCCTTTTTTCCCTACATGCGGAAAGAGGCCGAAACACAGCCGATATGAGTCCAGCGTTAAACTACAATGCAGGAACCATTCCTGCCGTCAACACATTTGCAAGTTTAGTGCAAAAATACATGATAGTACGGTAAGCCTAGTGCGCTGCAGCCTGGGTTCTAACTGAGGAGTTAAATGGGTACTAAGATTGTCCAAAATTGAAATTTTGCCTGTGCTTAACGCGAGATCCAGTCTGTTTCATAGCTTTTCCCTGCTTCTCTACTTTTTAAATTGAAATTGGACGACAAATTTCAGTCATTCCCCATCACAACACAAAGGCATCCTCTTGGCAACATGCGATTTTGCTTTGAATAAACGCGCAAAAACGCATAAAAACTCGCAAACCGTTTATTAGAATGTCTTTCAGTTTTTGACTCCTGAATCGACATGATGTGCTAAATTTTTTTGCCGATCTGGTAATAAAAAAATAGTGGCGCGCACCAAGGTAGCTCAAGCAATCATGCGTTTTGTGCAGTTCTGTCCAGCGCCAAACAGTAAAGCAGTGAGGACTTTGCTGTTAAAAGTGCTCACTGATTTACTGCTTGACCTGTGTACAAGTTACTGGAATGCTCTGATGGGCCAAAACTTCCACGTTTGTATATGCGAAGTCTAAACTAGGGATACGTGGATGTCAGATTCTCGGGTTGAAGAAGTGGAACAAAACGCACTCGAACACACACATACACACACAGAGACACACAGATGCATGGCATTTCGGGTTTTGTGTAATTGCTGCATAGCACAAAACGCATAAAAATGAACCTGATGAAAATCGTAAGGTAAGTGGGAACATACGCCTGCATGAAATACCATATACATCGTCTTTCGAATGTGAAATTCACATGCAACTCATCCCACATTCCAGCTGGGTAGGGCTGAAATTTCACTGAAGAAAAGATAAACTGATCCTTCATATTTGCTAATGCGTTTTGCATACAGAAAACGGAATGCCAGAGATTTCGTAGAAGGTATCCAAAAATATGGCCGAGCAATGGGGAGATTAGCTGGGGCGTGCTTAAATGGTGCATCATTTGAGGCCCTTCTTTATCTTTGTGATCTTGCTCCATACTGATCATACGTCGGGATGTTCGCCTGCTTTGTAGTATATACCTTCAAATTTTCACTTGTCATCTTCATTATGAGAAGCCACCAGGTTAAAACAGTCACTGAAATGTTCGTTTTGTAAAATTCACTGATGTGTAGGGTGCACCAATCTGCTGCAGCGAAAGTGAAGTGAATAAATATTAGCATACTTCAATCCTGAGTGTAGGCGTAATATTGACCAAATTGAAGTCCGGCAATAAAATAGGACTGACCGTATATACCGGATGCGGATTAATTGTATTCCATCGCATGCGCACTTCTTGATTGTTATAGTTGAAACTGTAGTCAAGTAATCAGTCAAATGGGCCTTGGAAATAATTAAAGCTGGCCCACGATAAAGCAAAAAGTCTTTTAGCAGTATCCTTTTCGCTTGTCTAGGCAGCTGCGCAAATGTGAATTGAAATTAGGGCATTCTCTACCCCAGAAGACATTTGCTGAGGTCTCGTTTTTTAGAAAAATCGATACTGCCTTTACATTTTTACCGTGAGCTTTGACATCTTCGCTTGCATTGTTTATGAAATTTTTAATACACATCACAATATTTTAGTACATATCGTGACCCTTAAAAGAAGTTTATTGTCGTTGCATTTTTCTTTCAAGTTCTGCTATAAAGACACAGTAAATTGGGCAGGCTAGAAGGCCGAAATTTCAAAGGGCCACTGCTTTGTCCGTGTATAATTTCGTATTCATAAAATCAATCCTCATATACTCTGAAGTCCCGCGAATGAATACGGCAAGCCTCAAGCTGTGAAAATATCGACATTCTACTTTCACAGTAACCAGGCAAGTTATAAAGCTGGAGTTTCACCAGGGCCGGCAGCACAATCTCACTTTCACAACCGATGAGTCTCTTTTCCTTACATGCGAGGAAAGACCAACAGGAGCATTTTTAATATGAGTGTACATATCGGACTGTAAGGCAACAACATTTCATATACTTGTCAATAATTTTGCTGTTGCACGAAACTACGTAAAAATACAAGGTTGCGTCAGTAGCACTGTTGTGCACCGCGAATTATTTATTACCAGAAATATTAGCTGGCAGCTTTTTATCAGTGGAAGTGTTAGACAATAACGGGATAGACGCAAAAAGACATTTGTCAATGCGGGTTTCTAGTTGAATGGATAGGACGCACAACTCCATAAATCCATTTTCCTCCAAAAATCGCGGCAGTGAGAGTGATGAAATTGCGTGCATTTATTAGTAATGCATTATTTTAATTTTTCACCTTTCGTAAATTAAGTAACAAGTCTGCACATCCATTGGAAAATTTGTTAAATCCATTGCACATGGTCCTTTGACTCGAACTCTCTAAAATACTTTTTTGATCAGTTTCATACCAAATCCTGCTATGCCGCGCTATGGATACATTTGTTCTTAGGTGAAATTAGGAATTTTGAAATCAAAGCCTAAAAACAGCGAGCAAAGTGGTTAAATCCTCAAAAGTTTTGTCTTCGATGAAGTTTCAGCTTCAACTGTAATTTTGAAATTGAAATTTTTGACCACAGGATCGGTGATTAGCAGCATTAGAAATAAACCCCATTTAAGCAGAAATATGTGTAGTGACGGCGAAAATGTTACGAGGCACAAGAAAATCTAATTAGTTGTATTTAGGCACTTAGGGCAGTGTCTCATGTAGGTCAAAGTCACTGCAGTAACCGGTTGCTACCGTTTGCTAATAGCAGCACAAACAACAGCAACACCATTCACTGCACCTGAAGGCATTCATTTTCCGAGAACTGTACTTTACACCAAGATCAGCGCGTCTTTCGCACACTATCATGCAAAAGCCAAGGGCGTCAGTCGTAAATTTGTCGCCTATGCTGTCGAATTTGTTATGAATTGTTCTAGCTACATCTTGCATTAAAAGTCTGCGAATATTATCATCAAAGCTTCACAGTTTGGAAAGTAATTCAACACAGAATATAAAACTTTCAGTAAACTTACATAGTTAACCCAAACAGTGCCGTTCGGATATAGCATCAAAAATATATTCCTGAAACAAATGTTAAACTTTTTTTATACCGAACTATTTGTCATCTTTATTCTTACGTACAAAAAGAAACAACAAATCAAATCAGAAGTTGCAAAATTATGATACAAAGAACTTGAAATATAAAAAACATTAAAATCAGTCTAAAAACTGTGAGCTATTTAAAAAATGAAAAAAATCCTTTAACAGTATAAAATGCACCCTTCTCTTAAACACTATTAGCCACATATGTGTAGGAGAAATTTAAGAGGAGGCATTTTACGCTGGTAGTAACAAAATTGAAACGAACATCCTTCTTGCGATGAATCTAGATAAGCATTCGGCAAGAGCGTGAAAGGACTTACTCATTTGCTTATTAAATTCACCTTATATCGAGTAACGGTTGAAACAAATGCAACTGCACTCAAACATATTAATTTCATTTGCTTTGTAAGATGTATTCTGATACTCTACCTAGCCAAAAGAGTTCGATTTTGTTAGAAAAAATCGAAAGTGCGAGTCTAAAAACAATCTCGAATAAATAAAAACGATTATGAGCAAGTGTCTATACTTAATGACACCACAGCAGCAATCTATTCCAGGAAAAGTACGTGAAAATTCAATTTTTTTAAAACCAGCAGAAAAATAGGAACTCTTTGCTAATGTGCTGTTTCAGAATTTCGATAAAAATACGCGTATCGAAATTTTCCGCATTTCTTCCCTTACTCCTGATCTTCAGAAAAAATTCTGTTTGCCTAGTAATAATTTTTTGGCGGTTGCTCAATTGCGCAAGAACTTTACCTAAAAGGCGAATCGTGAATTTCAGCAATTTTACTGTTGATGAAACAGCTGTTTGGTGTCCACAGTCGCTCAAGTACCTGGTGATTCAGTGACAGATTATCCTTGCATGGGCTTAGGTGTTCAAAATTTAGCGCCGGATCCAGCCACATTTCGTTGATATATATTTCCATCTGTAATAGATTTTGCAGCTACTTATATCTACGCCCTGAATTCGCACAACCGTGCCTCGCTATTCGGAAAATTTACTCAGAGTTCCAAATGTGACGGAGATGGGCATAATGCAAGTGCGGCTGCTCTGAGCCACGCCATTTTAGGTCAATTGTGATAACCAGAACATTATTTGCGAATCAAAACATAGCTGTGCAAATCAGGATGCAACACTTTTTCAACTTTTTAATTTGTATACGCCTGGTGTTCGGTAAAGACTGACAAGCTAGCTGGCACAATCCCTCATTCTCATGCCTCTTGCACTCATGCATTTGCAAGCAAATGGAAATTGAGCTATGCCATATACATATCTATGCCTCTTCATTCGCTGTACAATGTAGTCCCAAAATTACAAATAGGGAAATTGGGAATTTTGAAAGATTAGTTCGAAGATAAAACACGAGGGCACAGTTTGAGATCAGTTTTGGACTTTGCGCCTCGATTTATGTCCTGACCTCCAAATCCAAGCTAATTTTTTAATAGAAATACAGAATATTTTGGGAACTCCGAGTTATAGCGGTCTCTGCGCAGCACTAGACAAATCATTCAAAATTCGTTTCTGATCTCATGTGTTTGCCAAGAGGTGGATGTAGAGTCTAATTTTGCTAAGCAGAACGTCCTCAGCCCGTTGTCAAGATTGAGTGTAACCCGCTCCCTCACAATTCGAAGATGGTGCAGTCACACATCAACTGTGTACAGTTCAATCATTTATGATGCATGTTGGTTGAATGCAAGTGTTTTGCAATTCTGTAGCAGGCAGATACACATCGTAGAGGAAGGGATTTTACGAATTCATTTTTCAGTACTAATTACTGCTGGACACCTCTTCCATCTTCATGCTTTCTATTTCACTGCTCTCATGCTCCTGCTGTCTACCGATCTTAAGAAATTATGCAGGTTTAAATATTCCTACCTTTGCCACTGAATTAAGTGAGGAAAACTGCCCCGTCAAAGGGAAAAAGGTCGGATTTACTTAAGCTTTCTTGCGGCCTCCTTATTCTGCAGATCACATGAAATCTTCAGTAAGTCAAATCTCTAGCAGTTTGCTGATGGAAATTCTTGCCGTCGACAACGGGCAGACGCAACCTTATGAGTGAGAACAAAATTCTTTTTTTTTTTTTTTTTTTTTTTTT